GTACTCAATAAGTACAATAAAAAGTCAAAAAGGGGCCTAAATACTCTAGGCACTTGGCATTGGTGCAGCTCACAGTGAGATCATTTCCGCAGGGACCACAGTGACTGTCAGCACTGACAGATGAGTTCAGGATCTTAGTTGTCAACCTCCTGCATTTATTAAGATGAACTTCCCTTGAAGCAGCCAAGGGGCCAGTGTCTTCACTTGCCACATCTAGGAAGAAGGAAGGGGGATCTGCAGAGAGCCCACTGTACCTCTCACAGAGAATGCTTCCTCCAGGGTGTGGCTTCTATTCACTCCATCAGGAGCCTCCCAGTGCCAGCAGCACATCCCTCCCCAGGTCATGGTGTTCTTCGTAATACTTGTTCACATTGTAAAGCCTCATTATTTTATGCTCACAGCTACCTCCAAGGTAGGCAGAGTTTTTACTCCCCTTGTGCAGATGGGCAAATCAGAGTGATTGCAGAATTAGAAAATGTAGAACAAATATTAAATCTCAGTGTATTGCTTTAGAGCTGATCTCAACTGTGCTAAGTGTCCTGCACAGAACCAAACAGTGGCCAGAGTTCAGTGTGAGCTGGCCCCAGGTGAATGTTTGATTTTATTTAGTTCATCATAAGGAGTTTGTCCTCCCCTCACCATCTGTGTGGATTCATGTCTCCAGCAATCCCAGCTTACATCTCCAGTTTTCTCTGGCTTTCTCAGATGATCTTTTAGAAAACATGTGTCTTCCAAATCAGATTTTATCCCCACCCCAAGAGGCACATAGTTTCTTCCTTGTATGGTGTATATGATGTGGTCATTGTGAACAGACATCATTTCTGCCTCCTATGGTGTGGCTATCGTGAGTGGTCCACATTTCTGCCTCTTATGGTGTGGCCATTGTGAGTGGACCTTGTATCTGCCTCCTACAGTGTGGCCACTGTGAGTGGACCTCGTTTCTGCCTCCTATGGTGTGGCCATCATGAGTGGACCTCATTTCTGCCCTCTAAGTTTTAAGCTTTGCTGGATCAGGACCTTCTCTGACATCTTCTGTCATCAGGCAAAATGCTCTTTACAGAAAGTATTCACTTAAATATTAAGTTCAATTCAAACTAGATCTGACTTTTGAGCTAATTTATAAAGATGACGACTTATTCTTAATTAAAGTTCGGAGGCAGAGATGATAGAAACTCTGAGATAAAGTGTTTTTAAGATTCCAAGTGGCATAAATTACCTCCACTGAATGAGTGAATGAATGTGTGAGTGAATGAGGGACGTGGCAGGTTCCCTGGGAGAATGTGTCTTAACTGGCTCTATAAAACAATTTTCATGTTGGCATCATCAATTTAGATTCTTCTTCCCTAAAACCTGAGAAAGTCCAAGCTTTAAAATGGAGAAAACTACTCTTTAAAACAGTCTTGAACCTGCAGCTACCTTTGTACGCGTCCCTACTCGCTCCCGCTGTCAGTCACAGAGCCCTCTAGAGCCCTTCCCCACTAGGCCAGCACTGCCTGCCCCCCACGTTCCTGTGTGCGCCTCCAGCCTAGAGTGAGCGGTCTTCACGTCCCTGTGCTATTTAGAATAAGCCTGCTTTTTGGAATCTTATAGCTATAGAATTGTGCATTTCAGAGATAAAATTTTCTTAATGTTGCCTCATACCATATAATATTCTATATCATAATCAGTAAAAAAGAGTATCAATACTATGGTGGGAAAATTTATATATGTTAAGATTTGAAGAATGTTTTAACTCACTTTTTAAATAGCTTGAACAGTTGTATGTTGTTTTAAACTTTTTAATCTGGCTTAAAGCCAGGAATTTCTTAAGGAAAACACAGACGATATCTTTGATCCATTGTTTGGCCTTCTAAGAGCTACTGGTGTCCACAAAGACACCTCCTGTGCACCCAGAGCTTTCTCCCACCTGCTTGTCCTGCACCTGTGCAAATAGCCTGGCTTTGTGGAGCGGGAAACACCTGAAATGCTGAGGATTTTTTTTTTATAAAGTTGCTCAAAGTCTAATTGATTACATTCTAAATTTGGCAAAGTGCCTTAGATCTTGAATTGATTTGAAGACCCTCAACCAAGTTCTTTCAACAAATAGTAAATTCTTTAGAAAAGGAATATTTATTTCTCTTTAATGGACTCTGTTTATTGATAAATATGACTTAGTTAAAAGCTTATTTCCTTCCATACACTGTCTTCCTTGAAATTTAATTGCTGTTGTACATGAGGCAGGAGAAATGTGTGCATGAAATGTGTTCTTCTATTTCTGAGGAAGAATACTTCCATTGTTATAGTTCTACACTATTAAATTATCAAGCATTATGGTCAAATTCCAAATGCCTGAATACTAGGCTCTTTTTTTTTTTTTTAAATAAGTTTAGAGGCTGGGTGGCGCCTGTGGCTCAAAGGAGTAGGGTGCCAGCCCCATATGCCGAAGGTGGTAGGTTCAAACCCAGCCCTGGCCAAAAACTGCAAAAAAAAAAAAAAAAAAAAAAAAAGTTTAGAGGCTGCCTCTTCCCATTTAGAGCACATGGTAATTAAATGTCTTACCTAAGCCCCCAGCATTTCCTCACTTAGAGTTTTAGGAAATGCAAATAGATCATCTCTTAAACATAAAAATTACCAGGATTTAGGCTATTCTGTCTTTTCATCTAAAATAGAAGGCAGCTATTTATGGGGGTGGGCTCCTGCTCCACACAGGGGGCCTGTGACTGATCCTGACTGCGCGTGCCCTTCCTCCCTGCTCTCTGTTCCCTCCCTCCACGCTGACCAGCTGTGGGATGTGAGACAGGTTCTCAGGACTCCCAAAGACTCACACAGAGGGCTGACATGAATGTGAAACTTTTGCAAGGCTGAAGCTGCATTTCAGTGGGTGGGTGACTTGGTAAGATGAAGGGCCCACAGAATCATTTCCCCAGGTGCCATCTGCCTCCTGGGCTGCTCCACCCCTCCTAAGAAATTTAGATGCATTTTGGGTGAAGTGAAAATGTGCTGTGAAGCTCCCTGGTGGTAGAAGACCATGAAACGAAGGTGCTTATGCACACACATTTTTGCACAACTCTGAAAAGGCTACAGTCTGTTTTCACTTGACTCTTAGCTAAACTAAACACGACTTGTTTTAGCAGGTGATCTTTTACGAAAAATTAGAGCGTGCTGTTTGAAAGGAAACACGTTTTCAAAACAGCTCTCTCTTTGGTACTGGATGTGAAGGCCCCAACTCCACCTGCTGCTTGGTTCAAGCTTTCACTCAAAAAGCTGGAAAGTGGCCACTGCCAGGCAGCTTGCTGGGCTCTAGCTGGGACACGCTCCTTGCTGTGAGCCGCACCTGCCTGCCCTTCAGGCTGAGGCTCTGAGGACCCAGCCTGGGCCCCATGGGGCTGGAGCCCCTGAGGGATGAGGACCTCTGACCTCATCCCCACAGGGTCTCTTGTTCACTCTTTCACTTTGACTCCAGCTTGAAATTTTGGCTAATCTTTAGTTTTTAATTTTTATCTTTTTTCAATGTACTATCTTTAAAAAATTATGTGTAATATTAGGCAAAATTATTTAAAGTTAATAAATATATTTTTATTGAGAGCACTTTATGTGCTGTGTTCTTCCACCGCCTGTCAAGTTCACCTGAGCCCCTAGAGCAGGCGTCCTCAAACTGCAGCCCACAGGCCACATGCGGCCAGCCTAGGACATTCATCCGGCCCGCTGGGTGTTTTTGCCGCTGCTGCCTGTCCTGCTTAGTAGCCAACTCATCCTGGGACTTGCAGTCCGACCCTCCAATGGTCTGAGGGACAGTGAACTGGCCCCCTATTTAAAAAGTTTGAGGACCCCTGCCCTGGAGCTTGAGTATGGATGGGCCCTCGCTGGGGCCCTTGGCTGGGGCCCTTGCATGGGTGTACTGCACACCTCCTGGGTGAAGGACACAGATGTGACTCAGAACCTTACAAAAGCAGGCTGTGTAAACTAATTGTATATACTGCCATATTAATCTAAAATTTTTTTTTTTTTTGAGACAAAGTCTCACTATGTTGCCCTGGGTAGAGTGCTGTAGCATCACAGCTCACAGCAACCTCCAATTCTTGGGCTTAAGCAATTCTCTTGTCTCAGCCTCCCAAGTAGCTGGTACTACAGGTGCCCGCTACAACGCCTGGCTATTTTTTTTGTTGCAGTTGTTGTTGTTTAGCTGGCCCAGGCTGGGTTTGAACCTGTCAGCCTCGGTGCATATGGCCAGAGCCCTACCCACTCAGCTACAGGCACTGCCTAATCTAAACTTTTTAAAAAATGACAAAAGTAATCTCCAAGGCAGCCCTTTTTAAAAGAGCAGTCAGTGGTGTGAAGAGTGGCTCCCGGGAGTGTCTTTCTGCCTGCAGCCCCTCCCAAGGGTCCTGGTGGGAGCCATTCTATATGCTGCCTTCAGCAAGGGAGTGTCAGGCATTTCCTCAGAAATCAGCACACTCCCTTTGGGGCAGGGGATCACTGGATTACTCTACAAACATTTATTCAACGAACATTATTCCTAACAGTCCATATGAGTGGACTCTGAGAATGTAGATGAAATTGTGCTGCCCTTTAAGTTAGGAAGGCTTCCCTCCCAATTCCAAACTGGACATTCCTCACCCCTGTAACTTCCAAAACAAGGACACAACATGAGCGTTGAAGTAAATTAGCGGATTTAGCAAATGAATTTACAAATTAAAAAAAAAATATTGCCACTCAGAATATTAAAGGCAAAACAGAATGTATGTGCATCCTCTCCCAGAAGTGAATGGTTTTATGTGTCATTTTGGATCAGAATGCAAATATTGACTTAGAGAATCGCGAGTGATGGAGGCGTTGGAAACAGATGATGGCCTAGAAATTTCGAAGAGGTTCACATGATGTTTCTGGCAGTGGTAAAAACTAAATAGTGTCATTCCTTGCGGTTTCATTCCCTGACCATGAAATGGCCTTAGATAGCTTGTTTCTTTGGTACTTTCCAGAGCATTTCTTTAAATTTGTATGGGTTCTTTTTTTTTTTCTCCCCCAAGTTTTTGAGAGTTGATCAAGATAAAGACAAAGATTGTAGCTTGGACTGTGCGGGCTCTCCTCAGAAACCTCTCTGTGCATCCGACGGAAGAACCTTCTTATCCCGCTGTGAATTTCAACGCGCCAAGTGCAAAGACCCCCAGCTAGAGATTGCGTACCGAGGGAACTGCAAAGGTGAGCTTTTGGGGCTATTTTTCCAAAGATTGGCAGATGAGTCATGAAAATGCCTATATGAGTGGTTCATTTTTGTATTTGAAAGCTTGAATTATTTTTGCATGTTTCTTTCAGAATAAGAAAGAAGAATAATTTCTACAGATTTTGAGAGCAGTCTTTTGTTTTACTTGTTGAATGTTCTTTTGGAAGAACACAAAATAAAGCTATACAAGTATTTTGCCGTTTCTGTTCCAAAGTCCTCAAAAATTATTCTCACTAAAGTTTACTCTTGTTTCTCCTTTGGGCAAATGGGATGTGTGGGGTAGGAGGGGCCCATGTTGTGTTTAGTGATTATTATTATGGGATGTGTGCAGTAGGAGGTGCCCATGTGTGTTCAGTGATTATTATGGGATGTGTGCAGTAGGAGGGGCCCATGTGTGTTCAGTGATTATTATGGGATGTGTGCAGTAGGAGGGGCCCATGTCATGTTCAGTGACTATTATTATGGGATGTGTGGGGTAGGAGGGGCCCATGT